AATAATTTTGAAAAAAAATATCAGGTTTAAAATCAAGTATAAACAGTAAGGAAAAGTTACAATTACTGTTTATTAAACAAATTTATCTAATTTCCTAAATGTCTTAAACGTTTATGTAAATAGGCCTGCAGTTTCATCCCGTGTGCTCTAGTTGCGGTTGGTATTGGGTCAAATGTCCAACAACCCTCATATGGCCCTAGCATGGCTACATAATACATATCTAAATTTGTATTTGTCCTTTACGATAATAACATGTTGAATTCATCTCGTAATTACTTTTTATATCTGCCCGATAATCATCAAGTCAACGTTCATTTGACAATCACTCTCATCTTGTTAACAATAAATAGTTAAAACTTTCGTAAAACCAAACTTAAATGTTAAAATGTATATAAATTATATTTTTATGACTAAGGTAACTACAAAGGTTTGCCCAGCCTTAATTTTTATTTACAAAGGCTATAAATAAAAAATTGTCCAACTGATGTTATTTTCTAATTAATTCGTTTGTTTGTGTTTGTCGGTTCTTTCTGAGATTCAATGTATTCCCACATGATCCCCACTAATTTTCGGCTAGACGGTCACGTTACACAAATTCTGTCTACACTTTAATTTGAAGATTATTCAAAATGTGTGATGTTTAGTGACCGTTAATTAATGTTATTTGGAGATCGTGAGATGCGGTCTTTTAAGACGTAGGGTTGGAAAAACATTTTCTTTAACGTGCCCACGTTTCAAACTTTATTGAGATCATCTTCAGGGCCTGGGATTTATAAACATTGTTTAAAGTATACAAATACATGTAGGATGTGAAAAAAGTATAATTTTCATAACATTGTAGAATTTAAACAATGTTTAGAAATCTCATACCCTGAAGATGATCTCAATACAGATCGAAACGTTGGCGCGATAAACAAAATGTTTTTCTAAACCTACGTCACACGAGACCGCATCTCACGATCTCCAAATAGTCACCATTCAAAATGTCATTCTCCAGTTGTGTATGTAATGTTGGGTTGTGGATGAACGAATGAATAAATGTGTCTATTTACAGAAAAATAAAGTATTACGTAGTACATAATCATATATAATGCATGAGTTCCCCAGTGAAAAAAAACAAAAACAATAAACAAATATAGAAAAAGAAAATAAAACAGTATTATATACTTATTTAACCGTGAGCATAGAGGCACCGTTACAAAAATACAAGCAATAAAATTATGTACGTGCTTCTGCACATTAAAGTAAATTAAAAATGTCCACTTTAATTATTCAATTCATCAATGAAAAATTCGGGTCATTTGACTGCTTGAATTGAATGGCAGTAAAGGGCTTTTCATTTTGTTCTATATAACACATCGACACATTCATTCATGCTAAATTTAATTTTACGGAGATACCCAATTCTGACATCTGCGAGAATCGGAGTCCGAAATGAATTGAATATCATTTTTTGACCCTCCGTTTCATTGATAGCATCGCCAACTTCCGGCCGGTCGGCTAATTTGAAAATTCAGATTCAGAAGTCCCCCTCTAACTTTCTTAGGATTTGCATAAAATGAAGGTAATTATTATCTTTACGGTAATGGTTGCTCTCTAAATTTATGTTCAACGATTTGTACCATTCTCGAAATTGAGATTCTCGCGCTTTTGTTAAAAATTCCCAAAGCAATTTATTTTTTATTTTTGACAACAGTTCTTCAATTTACGCCTCACTACTGTTGCCAACTGAGTCCTAATCCTACTCAGCATTTCTTTTGCACAGCTCAAACAAATCTTTTTACCAGTATAAGTTTCTTTTTATTATGTCTTTTGCTAGGATTCATGGCGAACGGGACTCTTCAAGAGCTAGTACTTTTTTTAATATATTGAATGAAATGTTGAGTTGTATTCTGGACATCATCTCATTTTTATTGATGGGTCGGTGCTTGGGGAAAAGGTATTTGACCCTTCATCGTTTTTCAAAAAGTTATCGCTTGCTTTGGTCTCTACCTTCACTGCAGAAATTATACGCTTTAGTTCCCTTGACTGTTTGGCCACGCTAGATGGCTCCAAATTTTGCATTATAATAGACAGAAAAAGCGCCATTACTCAAAACTTTCACCCAAACTTGAAATGTGATTACTCATTAGCTGAATAATAGACAAGGCGTTTAAGCTAAAAAGCGACTAAATCGTTAACTCTTTAGCTAAGCAATCAACAAGGGATTTTATTGATAGTAAATTGCAAAAATTTGATTGACGTTCCTTGAATGATAAATTGGTAAAAGACTGGGGCATTTGGTACAACGGTGGTTTATCAGGTTCTGTCTACCGATCATTGTACGATGTTGTTTTATTATCGACCAACTTTGATACTGGATTCGAGAAATTATTGGGCATGTGGTCCATGAAATAATTACAACATTATATTATACATATGTCAATCTTTCATCTCTATATTTGGCCTTCATCAGAGCACTAAAACAACATAAAAATGAAAATTTTACAATTTCTTACAACAATTGATCTGATTTTATTGCAAAGAGATAATATTTAAATTTCACTTACATGCACATAGTTATCAATAAAAATAACAAAGTAAGAAACATTGCTATAACAAACATTTCAATATTTTATTTAAAACCCTCTTTACACCTTTTAAATGTTAATAGGCTTGTTACAATGCTATTGTTTATCTATTAGTTCTTGCAATTTAAAGACTATTGTAGTGAACAATTTACAGTAATGCATTAAAAAATTAAGGCCCTTGCGGTTGTTAAACTATTACGTATTTAATCGCTAATTTATATACTCTTATAAAAATTATTTATTTAGTGATTGATTATTCGTAAATCGTGAGATGCAGTCTGGTGTAACGTAGGTTTCAGAAAAACATTTTCTTTATCGTGCCAACGTTTCGATCATTATTGAGATCATCTTCAGGGCTCGTAGTGTTTGTTTTCTGCGTAGAGAGGTGCATTAAATCAAAAATTTAAATCTTTGACTGTCAACTATTTTTACATCGTTATTGATAATCACGTGCATGTAAGTATAATGTAAACTCACTAGTTTCGTGGTCAGCTTGACCAATTAATATCTTTCAATTAATTTAGGATTTTAGTTGAGATAAAAAAGTCATTGTCACGAGCTGGATTCGAACCCGCGATCTTCGGCTAGATACGCCGCTGCTCTACCACTTGAGCTATCGTGACTTCGCCAATCTTCATTTGTCAAAAAGGAGGGAAAATTCAAAAGGTGTGGTTGAGATGGGAAGTTAGTGTCCGAGTGGATCGAAGTCACGATAGCTCAAGTGGTAGAGCAGCGGCGTATCTAGCCGAAGATCGTGGGCTCGAATCCCGCTCGTGACACTGAATTTTTTTATCTCAACTAAAAACCTTATTTAATTGTAATGTAAATATTACCTCTGTGTTATAAAGTCAGATCAATTGTCGTAAGAAATTGTAAAAATTTCGATTATATGTTGTTGTAGTGCACTGAGGAAGGCCTGCGCTTAATATAGTGTTACAATTAAATCAAGGACCGAATAAACTCCCAAATCCAGACCGATCGTTCTTTCCGGATTAAATATGGTTCCATGGTTTTCTACAGAGTACAAATGTTTTCAACATCATCACGCATAACAAATCATGACATCCATGAATCTTACTTGCACCGAATTGAATTTAGATCGTCGCCTAATTCTTCCACATGTGATTAGCCAGAAAACAAATAAACATACTTATTATTCAGTCCTCAATATGAGTCAAAAAGGGAGAACATTTTAAACCGAGTATATATAGACGCATTTTTTATGTTTTTATAAGTTGGCAGAATGGATATATGGATTGGTACAATTTACCTCGGGGGCGGTTTGGCTTGTCAGGCGTCGACGGGTGGAGGTGTAGAGTGCTCAGGGCGAATTTTACCCCTGGCTGCATGGAGGATGTGGGCTTTTTCACAGCACTGTTATCTACGTGGCTTTCATCCACATCCCCCAATGCATTTGTAAGATAGGGCAGAATTTTAATTTGTTCAAAAATGAAAAGTCTAAAAGAGGACGCTTTAGTGTTTTCTCGCGCCAGGTGGTTTATCCGACACTGGATTTACGTATCAAGGCAATGTTTTATTTAAAAAAATAAGTCGGTCAGTTTAGTTCAGTTTTGCTGCACCTTGCTCTGAAGCAACGGTCAGTTAAATTACATGGATAAGGAATAATGGATGGGTAGGAAGCGTTTAAGTTTTTAAGGGATGCTTCGGTGCCAGATCTTCACATCCAGAAGCGCACCTAAGTAATAGAGCCTTTATTTTATAGAGCAGTACTGAATTTGTGAGAATTGGTTATATTTTTTGTATCGAGGATGGATATTAAATGTTTTAAATGAGTCTTTATGTGATTTTGAACCTCACAGAAAAAAGGCTGATGAGCCGGAAGATATAATACGGTTGGGAGATACGCTTTAATAATCAGTTGACTACTTCCATAAAAGAACAAAGTGACAAGTACTTAGGATGGCGCAGTACATTGACAAAAATACTATGTTTAAAATATAACAATGTTTTGCACGTAAGATTGAAAATAGTACAAAAGGTGTTTAAAGTTTGATATTTTCGTGATTACTAAATCGTTTTAACATTTTATTTCAAAATTTGTTTGTGAGAGTACGTGGTGATCAAAATGCTATAAAGAATTTTTTTTAACAATGAAATTAATATAAACGGCATTGAATTACGTTCAGTCGGCAGTTCTAAAATTAATTGTTGTTAACACATGACAGGTTCATGATTTATTTTATCTTCCAATTATATATTAAAGGTGAAAATAAATAAATTTATTAATACTGAATGTAACAAGTTTCATTTTAATTATTTCATTTAATTTATTTAACCTATTTATTAAAACCTAAAAAAATTAATCATATCTCAAACAATATCTTCCATACAGATTAATTAATTGAAAGATGTTATTTGGTCAATCGGACCACGAAATCTAATGAATTTATTTAAAACATTTTTTTTTAGATGGTCGCGTTTGGATGACAACATGGGCAATCATGGTTCATCTAGTAGAAGTGATGTTGACTTTTCGGAAGAAGGTAATTTAATGTTATTTTAAACATTACATATTATAAAATAAGTTTTAATATTTAGACATACATAAGTATGATTTTTAATTATTGAATAATCTAGCCTTCCTCGCAAACTGTGTTATCGGTAGATATCATTTAAGAACAAGTTTGATCGTAGTATTTTCTAAACGAATGAAGAATTAATAAATTTTCAATTTGTCATAAAGAAACAATAATTATTGTATTTTCAAAAACTAGGAATAACACAGTATTACAATGTGATACTAAACCAGCAACACTCATCTGTATTGCAAAACTATAGCCACGAAACGCCTTCCATTAAACTTGAATTCCTATCTCCTCTAGTAAATCACAATTCACTTCCACTTTTCAAATCTGATATAAAATAAATAACATAAAATTTTTTTTAACTTTTTAACATAAAACACCAAAAATTAACCAAAATTACACAGTTGATAAAGTAGTATTCCATTTCAACATCAGTCTCTTTAGAATATTCCTAAATAGACCTGTAACGAGTTTTATCGTTTTGTTTCAGTTAACTTTGACCATTTCCAAATACTCAGAGCTATTGGAAAAGGAAGTTTCGGAAAGGTAAGCGATGCATTATTTATTATCTCAATCCTTGTTGTTTCACACCAAAGTAAAAAAAAAAATGTTAACTTCTGTGCTGCGTGCAAGAGCCATTTATTGGCTTTTTTGCGTATTATTAAATTATTAGAACAACAAAACAGGTTTTAACCTGATTATTATGAATATAATTTACAAACAGGCACTGCAACCATTGTCTTTTACAATATTTATCTTATGTTTTCGCGCAATAAAAAAGAAAGCGAAAGAATGATTTATGAATAAATAAAATATATAATTACCGAACACGTTTTTCAATAGCTAAATGTTTTTGTTTAGAAATATTTTGTTTCTGTATTTTCTAATCACCAGTGATATTTTTAGCCTTATCGACCGCGTTATCCCGTCCAAAACCATCCATTCCATGAAATGTGTCGACGCACCTCTAACATTTTCTGATCGTATAACAGAATATTCTTCGACGAGAAATTTAAATGGATTAGTCTATGAGTCATTGTCAGTATGTAGAAAAGAGTATTGTTTAGTTAAAATAAAGATAGATCTTCTTAAGCAGAAAATCAGCCGGGCGAGTGCTTGGAAAGATTGTGAGAAAAAGTTCGAGTGAGAGAGGTAAGAAAGATAGAAGAATGAAAAATATATTGAGGGAAAAATAAAAGAAAAAAGAGAATGTAAAATAATGGAAGATAGAAAATCCGGACAAGGAATATAAGTTAGAGAGAGAGAGATAGTGAGAGAGAGAGAGAGAGAGAGAAAGAGAGAGAGAGAGAGAGAGAGAGAGAGAGAGAGAGAGAGAGACAGACAGACAGACAGACAGACAGACAGACAGAGACATACAGACAGAGATAGATGAACAGACAGACAGAGAGAAAGATAATAAAATGCAAAAAGAAAATCAAAAAAGAGAAACATAGGAAGAAAACATGAGAAAGATCAGAGAAGAGCATAAAAGGAGCAAGAGAAGGGGAAAATTGGAAAATGATGGATAAAAAAAGAAAAGGAAGGAAATATATAAAAAATAGTTAAAACAAGAGACAAAGATAGAAATACCAACAAAAACAAACAAGGAAATCAGTTCTTAGTCACTGTAAGGGAGTGATGTTATTAGCAAGATCTGAGGAGATAGTAAGAGTGAGTGAAAGGGAGTGAGAAAAAGTAAAAATGAGAAAATAACAAAGTTAGAAAGTGTAGGAAAGAAGAAGTGTTATAGTTTTTAAATGTTGACATTGTTTATTGTGAATTTATGCGTCTATCATTGTATATCAAGTTAATATTTTGAAATATTGAAGTCCCTCCTCGCACGTATGTGGCAAAGCTTTGAGCTTATAATGAAAATAAATTTCCCCGGTAAGAAAGCAAGTTATTTATTACTTATAATTACGCTTGACTCCCTTCTGTCTTGATAAATGATGAGCTTCAACTCTTTTCCCACTCGCACACCTTTCAGCTGCGAACCTTTGTTTCCTGTTTTTGTACAATTTAAAAGGGCGGTCGTTAATCATTCACTTAAGCACAGTAAGTATAATAAATTCATCAGCATTCTTAATATGTCCGGTGGTTAATTACTTTTATTTAAAAAATAATATTTAAAGGGTTTTTTCAAGATTAAATTATTGCTTGTTTATGTAAAGTCTGCTTTAAAACAACAACTATGTTTCGAGTTGTGTTGGAATAATTGCAAAAATAAAAACAAATGGTAGCAATGGAAACCTTCTTGTTGATTAAACTTATTCATAAAGTTTTTCTTGAGTTTCACCGTTAGCCAGGTTTATATAACAATACAGAATACATACTTTTTAGAACTTTTTTTTAAATATTTGTTTTTAAGCCTTTGGACTGATCAGAAAAAATGTAAACAAAATAACTTTAAGAGGTTATGTTTCATGTTTTTGGCTTGCACAAAATGTTATTTGTAGAGAAATTGTCAAAAAAAATTGTTGAATAGAAAAATAAGAGGGATAGGGAAAGTCGTTCGGGATAATCTGATTCAGATGAGGGCTGTCGATACGAGCCGGCCTCGGTGGTTCTGATCACCATCGGCGGTGATTTAATCGAGAAGGGCTTTGTAAAAAAAGTACCACCGACGAGCTTTGAAAATTAATAACGTTTGCCTTGTACGGAGTTGATTTTAAATAATAGGGTTTACATTTTCAGTGTTTCTCAAACATGATGGCCATCAAGACGGTTCAATATTCATGAATTTTTGAATGTTATTCCCATTTCTTTAATACTTTTAATGTATAATATTCTAAAATAGAAACGATTAAAATATAAAAAGTAATGTTTTTCTAAGCGATATTTTAAACGAGGCATCATTCGGTAACTTTTAAAATTCAAAACGGTGATAACGCCGAAAGACAAACGGAAAATAAAGAAGGAAGATGTAATAAATTTCAATCAACATATTTATAAGTTGGCCACTTCGGGAATTTTCCATTAAAACCATGCTTGAGAAAGTGATAATTGGTTCGACGGCTCCCTGTTCTTGGGTAAATTACAAAATTGATTTATTAATCAGGGTGTCGTTATTCGTTAATTAAGGTTCGGCCTCGGCTTTATCATGTTGGACAGATTGCTTTTTAACGCAGAATTATAAGTTTTTAGCGGAACCGATCCCGTTTATATAAATGGAACTGAATAAATAAACAATAGAAGGAAGAGAAGTCATAATATTAGATATAATCAGGGATGAGGACAAATAAAAGTTCATGTTTGTTAACCTTATATATTTTTTGTATGCTTCCTATGGGGTTTTTGTTCGCCTTTGTTTTTTAATTACTTTTACATCCAGGGATTTAGTTAAAACACTGAACTCATATAATCCGTATCCACCCGGTTTTCTTATACAGTACAGCCAGTAATGCTGACTCATTATCCTAAATTTACCTAACTACGACAGCAATAAATCTATTAAATTTACTAGTTTTCGTGTCCGCTTGACCACTTAATATCTTTCAATTAATTAAGGTTTTTAGTTGAGATAAAAAAGCCAGTGTCAAGAGCAGGATTCGAACCCACAACCTTCGGCTAGATACGCCGCTACCTCTTGAGCTACCGTGATTGATCCACTCGGACACTGACTTCCCATCTCAACCCCACCTTTTGAATTTTCCCTCCTTTTTGCCATTTTTCAAATGTCGTGCAATCTATTTTATCTTTACTTTTTCATCTAATTAATTGAAAGATGTTAATTGGTCAAGTGGACCGCGAAAATTAGTGAATCTAATAGCTCATAATTTTTATTGTAAATTAATCTTAATTTTACGAACGATAACGTTTAACAATGTGAAAAGGGATTCAAATGTTCTTGAAAACGAAGTTATTTTAGACAAAACAATGTGAGCCGTAATGGAATTACCAGATATCCGACGGCGAGCCACATCAATTTTCAGCAAACTCGATTTATCTCACGCTTTAAATCGGATACTGCATGGCGATGAAACTCAACAATTTAACACCAATTTCGACACAACGAACTAGTTAGTAATAAATATTAATTAGTTCTACAAATGATGCAAGAATTTGTCTTCTTAAATATAAAAACAATTCGACAAATGATGCAACCATTAATTAATCTTTAAGTAAGGTATTGGTTGAGATAAAAAAAGTCAATGGCACGAGCGGGATTCGAACCCACGACCTTCGGCTAGATACACCGCTGCTCTACCACTTGAGCTACCGTGACTTCGATCCCCTTGGACACTGACTTCCCATCTCAGCCCAACCTTTTGGATTTTTTCTCCTTTTTACCGTTTTTCAAATGGTAGAGTAGCGGCGTATCTAGCCGAATGTCGTGGGTTCGAATCCCACTCGTAACACTGACTTTTTTATCTCAACTAAAAACTTTAATTAATTGAAAAATAATTCTATTATTAATCTAATTATAATTCTATTATTTTTACTGTCTGTCTGTTCCTCTCTCTCCTCCTCTTTCTCTTTCATTCTAGTGTGCGTACATTCTTTCTCCATTTTCTCCCCTCGCTCTTTCCCACCACTCTCCCTCCTCTCTCACTCACTCTCTCTCTCTCTTTCTCCCTCTGTGTATGATATGTCTATCCATCCATCTATCTCAATTTCTACCTATGTCTACTTCGGTCCTTATCTGCCTACCTTTATCTCTCCGTGTCACCCATTCACTCACTCTCACGCTCAAAAATATTTCAAAATTCTAGAACATCTATACTATAGTTACAAGGACCTTTTATTTCACTCCCACACTCTCTTTCTCAACCTGCATATTTATCTACCTATATCTATGTATATTTCTATCTATATCTACTTCGATCCTTCTCTATCTATATTTACCTCTCTGTGTCACCCACTTTCTCTCTCTCTCTCTCCCTCTCTCTCTCTCTCTCTCTCTCTCTCTCTCTCTTTCTCTCTCGCACTCCCTTTCACGCACTCACTGTTATTTCAGTTATTCCCCTTTTTTTCTCTCTCTCAATCCTCATCTCTACTGCTCTCTCTTCTCTCTCTTCCTTCCTATTCTCTCACTGCCTCGCTCAAAAATATGTAAGAATTCTATCTGAAATATTCTATAAATAGAAGGTGGTGTTTTCATTTCTCTATCTCTATTTCTATTGCTCTCTCTCTCCCTCCCTCTCTCTCTCTCTCTCTCTCTCTCTCTCTCTCCTACCCTTTAGTTTCTCTTTTATTTTACTCTCTCAGTCACTCTCATCTCTTCCTTATCTCTCACGCTATCTGCCTATTTTTGTATCTATGTACAAATCATTCGTTTTGTTTCATTGAACATTCTCCCTCTCTCTCTCTCACACTTTTTTCCCTCTTTATTTTATTTTATTTTTTTTGTATATACTTTTTTGCAACTTTAAAAAAATTCTTATAACTCATCATCAGGTTGAAGGGATTTACAACCACGTCTCTTGACATGAATTTTAAGAGAAGAAGTAAAAGAACTCTTACAACTCACGTCGAGAGAGATGGTTATAAAATCCTTCAACCTGATAATATGCTACAAGAATGAAATCTGGGTCGTTGAAAATAAC